TTATGCAATGTATGATATATGTTCCAAAACTAGATGTATACATGAGAAGTCGGTTCCTAGCAGAAGAACACGTCGTCGTGGTCGAGCTCTTAGGAGTCGCAGATACGTCGAAATCCAACGACCTGATGACAATCCTATCGAAAACCCTGATAGTCCCATTGAATACCTTTAGACAGATCCTAAGTTTGTATCTCCTGTTTATCCCTTATTTTGTCTGTATCGAGAATCTTTATATCGCTTCCTGTGCAGAATCGATACTGTCGACGAATGTACGAAATAATGATGGATGTTTAACATTACACTGCGTTGATGTTCCAGTTACGGGCGTGAGTACGCCGATCCCTACCTTGGACATGGTATTGGACCAGTAGCCGGCTACGGGGTAAATGCAGTTCCCATTAAATTTTCATTAAATAACTAGGATAACAGAAAATTTTCAGTTTTTCTATGTTTGCTGATATTTCACAACGATGCACATCTTGATATCTAAAATTTTCCACTTGAAAAATGATAATTTGTAATTTAGAAAAATGTCTCCAAGGCATATTTTGATGTCTAAAATTTTTCACTCAAAATATGATAGTTTGCAAGTTTAAAAAAATATCTCCAAGGCATATTTTGATATGTAAGATTTTACACTTGAAAAATGACAATTTGTAATTTTAAAAAATGTCCCCAAGGCATATTTTGGTAATTTTAAATTGTAATTTTAAAAAATGTCTCCAAGGCAAAAATTTCTCACTCAAAGAGTGACAGCTTTTAATTAAAGAAAAAGCGTCTCCACCAAAAATGAACCGAAGAATTACATTGTTTTTCCAGGCGACAGTGTACAGGAGCAGCTACAACAGGTTCACGCCGTACTAAGGATCGTCGTAAGGGTATCGAAGCGCGAGCCTTCCAAGTACACCGTTATACTCAGCTAAACATGACCAGAACAACCAACAAAAACCCAACTACCACCAGAAGAAGAAAAGAAAAAAAAAAGAAAATGAAGAAAAAAGAAAAAATCGACACAATCGTCATCGTCATCCGCCATCGATCACGATCACCCCACGAAGCAATGCCTGGATCCTCTGCGCATGCTGACGCTAGCCTTCTTCGTAGCACTGATACGAGATCATCGACTTTAGCTCTCGTCGACGCAGAACAAACGCGATGACATTCTCGTCGGGGGGAACCACTGGACCGAACGGAATCATCGTCCAACGGAGAGTCCGGACTTACCGAGTCGAGCACAAAAAGATACCACGCAAAACTTCAACATCTTCCTTCAA